TTTAATAATCTAGTTACTCAGTATATAGTTGAAACAGGGAAAGGAGAATAAATGTGTCATTCTTAACAGTTTTCAAAACAGCTTTTAGCATCACCTATTGGTGACCATTTTTTTGTGTGTGTAGCATTATGAGATCATGGATTTAAACATATTAGATATGTTTCAACTACTGGTTATTGTCCTTATTAATACTCAAGTTGTCCTATGTTTGGCTAAAAAATATTTGTCTTTGTTTTTTTAGAGAAGAAAATCGATCCTGAGTTCATACTAATATTTTCAATTCAAATGTAGCATTATAGAATTTAGTTTTGGAATTATGTATTTATACTGTGTGTTTATATAGAATTTATAGGATTATAAAATTTTTATTTAACTTTGCAATTTAACATTTGTATATCTTATTTACTCTCTAAATCTTGGCTTCTTATGACATTAACTTCATTATTTATTTGATTTGACCCTAACATCTCTCACACACACACACAAGCTTTTAAATAACAATAAAAATATTATTGAAAACAATTTAAGATTCCTAAGCAGCTTTATTTTTATTTTTGCTTTTTAGGCTACATCTCATTAGGAAATGCACGACCTTAAAAATCACAGCTCAATAGCTTAATGAGGTTCATCTGTTTTAGTGTGCTTCAATTTTTAGATACTGCTAATTTTTCCTCTTTTGGACTTAGTGTTGTTTTATAATTATGTTAACATTTACATGGTTCCAAAGTAAAAATGACAAAACAAAGTATGTTTAAAGAATCTATCTTTCATCCCTGTCCCTTCCTTTTCCCTGAAAGAAACCATTCCTATTGGTTTTGTGACTTTTTTTTTTTAAGTTTTATTTATTTATTTTGTGAGAGAGAGTACAAGTAGGGAGGATGCAGAGAGAGAAGGGAACAGAGGATCTGAAGCAGGCTCTGTGATGACAGCAGAAAGCCCAATGTAGGGTTTGAACTCACGAACCACGAGATCACAACCTGAGCTGAAATCAGATGCTTAACCAACAGAGCCACCCAGGCGCCCCAGGGGGTTATCAATTTTTTAAATATAAGCAAAGACACATACCATTTATATTCTTTGTTCTCCCTTAAATAAAAAGTAGTATACTATTTATGCTACCTGACCATTGCTTTTTTAACTTACTATACAGTAGAAATCATCCCACCGTTACATATAGAAATCACATCACCTTTTGTATTTCAAAAATGTGAGTCAAGCTAAATATGTTTAGTATCAATGTTAATTTAATAAACTTTGTTTATTCCATTCAGCTTCAGTGCTTAGATTGAGAAAAGCAAAATAAACGGGTACGTCCTACATGAAACAGGACAGAAAACCAAAAAAGTGCATCCAGCTTTTAAAAATATTTTTAAAATGTTAGCCCTTCATTAAATGGATAACAAACATTTCTTCTGGCAATAATAAAACCCGCTAAGCTATTAATGCACGCATTTTAAACCTTCTTCATAACAGATTAGCTGTGATCTAACAACTAGCTAAAATCTATACCAAAGACAGAAGGCATGGATACTATGATAATTTAGGGAATAATTTATTAAATACATTTGAACTTACTAGAAATTACTAAAAATTGTTTGACCCTGTAAAAACAGAAAAGAATCCATATGAAAGAAGAGACACTTAATGGTATTATTTAATAAGAGAAAATTTATTAATGGATATAGTCATCACTGGTTACCTTTTATTTGAAAAAATATAATTTGTACCATCTCCACTAGTAATTTTACTTTTAGAACTTCAAAGGCTGGCAACGGAAGAAGAATCTCCACATACGTAAGAACTAATGGTCAAATGACTTTCAAAAAACCTTAACACCATGGGGCATCTGGGTGGCTCAGTTGGTTAGGCAACTGACTTTGACTCAGGTCATGATCTCACAGTTGGTGAGTTTGAGCCCCGCATCTGAGCTGTCAGCACAGAGCCTGGAGCCTGCTTCAGACTCTGTCTTCCCCTCTCTCTACCCCTCCTCTGCTCACACGCTGTGTCTCTCTCAGTAATAAATAAATGTTAAAAAAAAAAATTAAAAAAAAAAACTTTAACACCATAACCTTTTTTTTTTTCAACATATATTCATTTTTGAGAGAGAGAGAGAGAGAGAGAGAGACAAGAGCATGAACAGGGGAGGGGCAGAGAGAGAGGGAGACATAGAATCTGAAGCAGGCTCCAGGTCTGAACTGTCAGCACAGAGCCCAATGTGGGGCTCGAACTCACGGACTGCAAGATCATGACCTGAGCTGAAGTCAGATGCTTAACCAACTGAGCCACCCAGGCACCCCACACCATAACCTTTTTCTAAATGAAACTTTAGGTGGAACTCCAACATATGAGCACATAAAAGTGGTAGTTTACCATTATACATTTCTTTTATAGGTTCAGATATATATCAAATTTGATAGGAGATCAACCAATGATAAAATTGAAAGTATTTTGGTTAACATGAAAATCTGCAATCAGGGCACACAGATGATACCTGCAGTCTAATATAAGCCTCAAATGCATAAAAATAGTTCAACCTTTTTATTATTGAAAATTTCAAACAAAATCAAAATTATGGAACACAGTATAATGAATTCTCACGTATCCATTTTCAGCATTAACCACTATCAACACATGGTCAATCTTCTTTCACCCATACTCCAATCACTGCCTCCAAGGCCCCCTCACACACATCACACCCACACCCCCAGGATTACTTTAAAAGAATCCAAGAACCATATTTTATCTCTAAAAATTTCAGCATGTGTATGGTATGTTACTGGCATACCTAAAAATATTAACAATAATTCCTTAGTATCATCTGAAGTGCTACCTGGGACTCACATGGACAGTTTATAAACTCTTCTTTCTCCATCTCTTTCTTTTCCTGTAGTTTCTGCAAAGCACAACATTCTTCCCTCCCTCACTTTGAACTTAGGAGGGCTACAGGGTTCTTTGCTTTCTTATGACATTGCTCAAATAAGGATGGAAGAGTTAAATAAAAGCTCAGGTTGGGAGATTGAAAAGGGAGAAGAAATATGCAAACAGCAAATGTGGTTTTTAAAACATGGCTTATTTTCTGGACCCATTCAATATCAGTTCTATTCTCTAGGAAGCATGGATCCTGTTTGTATCTTGTTATTGGCTATCTTCAAGTCTAAGGCCAAGTTGGAAAGAAAGAAGTAATTCTTTCTCCTAAAGATCCAAGAGCCGCTTTCCTAGTCGGAATTTCTTCTCCAAGGACCAATGTCTTCCTTGATGACTAAAACCAGGAATAAATACTCTTTCAGGGGAGACCCTTATTCCCAACCTACAGAGACAGCTGTAGCTTTTCACTAAGGCATCAAGAAATTACAACTGAATATACTAGAAAAACCCACTAGCTACACAACAGATACAGGTATAGCAATAGTCATTCTGTTATACAAAACACACAACTCAGTCAGTAATGAATAAAAACCTCTAACAATTTAATTCCCCAATTGATAAGGAAAGATTTATCAAAAAACTTTCATTGGGTTCCTCTGAACAAAAAATGTGAATACTGGAGAACATGCTTTATAAAAAACGTATACAAAAAGGACAATATAAAAATTAAGAGTTGTTTGTCAATGTTATCAGTGGGGACTCAGTCACTTGGTGTATAATCTTAGGCTAATCATTTCATTACACCTAATTTCAGTTTTCTTTTTCTGTTGTGAGACATGAGATAATGAACTTTTTAAAATTTACTATGTTAAAAAAATAAAATAGGGGCGCCTGGGTGGCGCAGTCGGTTGGGCGTCCGACTTCAGCCAGGTCACTATCTCGCGGTCCGTGAGTTCGAGCCCCGCGTCGGGCTCTGGGCTGATGGCTCAGAGCTTGGAGCCTGTTTCCGATTCTGTGTCTCCCTCTCTCTCTGCCCCTCCCCCGTTCATGCTCTGTCTCTCTCTGTCCCAAAAATAAACAAACGTTGAAAAAAAAAATTTAAAAAAATAAATAAATAAATTAAATAAAATAAAATCTACTATGTTAATATGATGCACTGAGGAGACAATGCTATTTTAGTGGTATTCTTTGTCCAAATTACATTATCTCATTCCAGTCATGAGAAAATATTACACAAATAAAATTGAAGGACATACTACCATGTCTGATCAGTACTCTTCAAAAGTCTCAAGGTTACTGAGAGACAAAGAAAGACAGAGGAACTGTTATAGACTGGAAGAGACCAAGAAGAAATAACTAAATGCAAAGTAAGATTCTAGACAGGATCTTGAAACGAAAAAGAACATTAGTTTGAAATGGTTGGCATGCAATAAAGTGTAAGTTTAGTTAATGACATTGTGACTAATGCTAATATCCTATTATTTTCAAATTTAAGAATAAATATTCAAATAGCCTTTGCTTCCAAATAATTAATCTTCTCAAACATCTCCAACACCTACCTCTGGCCAAGACAGATGAATGTAAATGTATACAAATACAAATGCATGCACCAATTTCTAAAACTGATGAAAACAGCATTACCACCAGGTCACACTTCACAGTGAACTCTTCACATTTCTAATAGGCTACTAGTTCTGACTGAACCAGAAGAGAAGTCTTTTTTAAACCCTAGTACCTTATCCTACATTTGGTTCATGGCCTCCTATTTTGCTTCCTGTGACAGCAGTAAAAGAAGAACCTTCCTATATTTTTCCCTACAAACAACTTCCTATTGTTACTGAGAATATAGAGCATGGCATATTAAGTGCTCAGTGAATGCTTGACAAATCAGGTTGGCTTGGTTCTCCTTACATACCTCTATTTTGCCACCTTCATCCCAATATATTTAGGAAAAAAGGAAGAGGAGGTGAGAAAGCACTATGAAACTCAGGTAGATGAGAAAGAAAATATGATTTCCCTCTCCCTACAGGGCTCTAGCCTCTTGAAACCAAGTTAGGGACTCTTATGCCCCAAAAATCACAGGACTGAGAAACTGCCCCAAACTATGCTAAAGTACGGTGCTGCTGGGGACACACCTGTGAGCGTGATGTCATCGTCATCTTCATCTATGATTTCTTCCTCGGCAACATCCAGGGAGCTCTCAGTAATCATGTCATTGGGCTCTTCCACACAGGCTAGACCCGCATAACTATTGAGAATATCAGCACCAGGAACATGTTCCACAATTACAGCAGGAAAAATAGCTGGATCACCAAGCTGGGAAGAGTGAGGGGAAAAAAAGAGGATTAACAAAGTGTTTGCTTTTGTTAAATACAACCAAAAAATATTTTCTGCTGGACATCAATTTAGTTTTTATATCATCAGTTACTGAAATCTTGACAATCTTTCTGGGCTGCAGAGAATGTGTATCTATTAAGGATAAACTTTTCTTATCAATCTTGAGGCTTAACCAAATTTTCATTGGAAAATCCTACAACATACTTTTAAACCACATTAAATAAAAAAACCTAGTATCATTAATTCATAAAAAGTGGCATACCAATGAAATGTACAATTAAATACAATCTCAACAAAAGTTTGACAGGAAAAAAAACCCACATAAACTTAATAAATGTTACATTGTCACTGGCACACATGCTGTGTTTAACAACAGCTTTTCACTCAAATGGGGAAATTAACTTTCATTTTCTATTTGGTCATACATCATGTAATTTTAGATCATGTCTATCACGATCTTTCTGTATTATTACTTCAATTTTTTCTGCTTTAAGAGTGGTAGAACCTCCTCCCTTAACCCGAGATAATTCATGTATATTTCCAGATACATGAATACTACCTTATATACAGAGTACAATTATCAAAACACTAATATAGTACTAAATTTAATCTATAGAGCCTATTCAAATTTCCCCAATTGTCTCACATTCTTTTAGTTATTTATTTTTAAATTTATTTACTTATTTATTTAGAGTGTACACACACAAGCATGTGACCAGGGAGGAACAGAGAGAGAATCTGAAGCAGTCTCCATACTGTCAGCACAGAGTCCAACACGGGACTCGATCTCACAAACTGTGAGATCAAGACCTGAGCCGAAATCAAGAGTTGGATGCTTAATCAACTGAGCTACCCGGGTGCCCCCACTTAACGTCTTTAAAACACACACAC